AGCAAGGTTATGTGAAATTGAATGGAAACGTCAGCTCAACTCATGTCATTGTGGGACAATTCTTCTTCTATCAGTCCTTTATCACCTTACACGAAATAGGGTGAATACATCTCATTACACTGCTTTACTGGTAGTCTCGAAACCCTACTTGCATATGACTGTTTTTGAGTCAAACTCGGCTGTACAACCACTGGAATCATTGGTCGTCTTCCGGTGAGATGAACCTGCAAATCTCTTCTTTCCACACACTCTCGGACAAAAATGAAAGCCTCAACAAGAAAGTTGTAGCAAGCGATTCATCAAAACATCAAAACCCACGTGAAAAGAGTGAGCTGGTTATTCCTTGAGAAATGCTGGCGTGTCAACCTTTGTCCGCTTGCGCTTCAACCGTCCAATTGCTTTGACGGTCGCCAACTACCAGCTTGATTGACGCTTCCAACTGCTCCCTCTTCCCCGTTCCACTCTCGAACCTCGGAAATGCCTCAATGTCGCCAAGCAGCAAAATAGTCGTCAACATACCGAAACAATACTTTCGTGGATGTACTTGTCTGCATGCGCGAGGCAGCCAACTGGACAATGGGATGGCCAAGTCAAATGATACAATTCGTCATTTACGGTTCCGGTGATTGTGTCATAAATCAAGATTTCACTCTTTGAGCCTGTAAACAAAGACCGGCACGGATTGATTCGGAGTCGCAGAACTTCGTGTCGCACAAGCGACAACTGTTGAGCTTACTTCCATTTCGAGTGAAAGTGTTGCGTGAAGAGATTCGAAGCTCGATTCCACCAGAAGACGACCAGCAACAGATTCCTCTTGACCAGTTGTCGATTGGATTTACTGGAACATTGACGGTGACGCTGTTGCCGAGGCAATCTCCTTCGATTCCGGTGACAAGGTGCTAAGCTTTTGTCCGTCACATGACGAACATCATCAGAGCATCGAGGGTATCATCGTCACAACCAAATTGAAGCTAGCAAGTCAAGAAAACTCACCGGCAAATTCCCAAAAAGTGGTATCTATATTCTACATCCGGCCTCTTTGATCAGGTATAAAGTGATTTGGATATTTGAGGTCATAGGTTAACTTCCATGCATGTGAATGTGTCTGTTTCTGTATGTTTTGTTGACTCGTTTACTTGAATTTTGTTGTGACGATGATACCTTCGATGCTCTGATGATGTTCGTCATGTGACATACGATGCAGATTGCCTCAGAATCAGCGTCAGGATGAATGTTCCAGTTGAGCCAATCGACAGCTGGTCAAGTGAAATCCGTCACCGGTTGTCTTCTGGTGGAACCGATCTTCAAATCTCTTCACGCAACACTTTCACTCGAAATGGAAGTAAGCTCAACAATAAGCATTTCATTTCATTTCACACAGTCTTGCTTCCAAAAAGCTTTTCCTATTCCAGCTGGTCGGGAGTGCAGTTTCGACCCGAAACGGGACTCGAACCACGCCAGTGCAACGTCCAGTCGCAACACGTTAACCGCTAGGCGACACTGCAACCAGTGTTATTGGTTCACGGGACAGTTGTCTCGAAAGCATTGTTACAAACGGACAAATAAGAAATGGACAATGTTGACTGCAACATGTGGTATCATTTTCATTTCGAGTTCAAGTGTTTGTGTGCATTTGTGTATGTGTGTTTATGATGAAGAGGTGCTTGATCCCAGCGAATTTGTCTCGGAACCATCACTACTTCTCAATGGGTAGCCAGCACACAAACATTTTTCTCGTAATTGGACAACGAGTGTCCATAAAATCACAACAATCTCCTTCATTCTTTTGTCAATTCAAACGGATCCATGGCAGTAAGAAAAGTTAGGCTCGATTTCATTTTGAGAGAATGTGTGTGAGAAAGACACGATGTATTCACCCAATTTCGTTTAAGGCGATGAAGGTGATGAAGGACTGATAGAAGAAGAATTCTCCCACAATAATATGAGAATTTTTCCACATTTAACGTTTCCCTTAAACATTCTTCTTCTACCAGTCCTTCATCAGCTTAAACGAAATTGGGTGAATACATGTCATACTACTGATTTACTGATAGTCACGACAACAATAGTTAATTCTAAAAATATATTAAATTCTCCATATGAAATGTATTCACCCAATTTCGTTTAAGGATGAGAACAACTTTTGGGAAGGCAAGGCTGTGTGAAATTGAATGAAAACGTCATCTCAACTCATATCATTTGTGCGAAAATTCTTCTTCTACCAGTCCTTCTTCAGCTTAAACGAAATTGGGTGAATACATCTCATACTACTGATTTACTGGTAGTCACGACAACAATAGTTAATTATAAAAATAAAGACACGATGACATGACAAACGTGTAACTCTCTTCTCCTTCCTGTCGACGAGGATGTGCGAAGAGGAGGCTCTATCCAGCAAAACTCAGCTCTGGCCAAAGGGCAACCAAACAATGCAACCGAGGCAACACACACTTGCAAAGAGATGAATTGGCACTGGCTGGCGCTGATCTCGTTGCCAGCTCGAGTGAAAACGGGTCTGGATACCGAAATTCCTGACATTCGGAGAGCCGCTTAGAGTTGAAAAAGCATTCGAGTGCAGACTTACACTTTGTCTAAAGGTGCTTCTGATGAAGAGCACCAATAGACGACGATTGTTTCACGTTCTCCTGCACACGTTTGGCTTCAATACGACATCCGCTCGCCGGTCACTCAGTTGATCGGACGTTGGTGGAGCAAGAGAAGACGGGTTTCGGATACATGCTCGCATGATTCATGCTTGGGTGGGGTTGTTTGAGATTGAGAAGATGGCAGGAAGGCAATCGTGGTTGGTTTTATTGTGCACCCAACAAGAGAAAATGGTAGCCCCGATTTGAGCCTCGGCCCGCCCACCTCCGATTTCAATCAGTCCTTTCCGTCTTTGCAGACGATGTTATGAAGACTTTCCTTTCGAAGAGAAGAGTATGAATTAGAGATTGATAGGCCGGTCTGACCAGAAGACGACG